AATGTCTGTGTTTTGGATGGTGGAAGTCAACCTGAAAATCAGAAAGAGAGGCAGGGAGAGAAAGGGGGAGAGAGACAACGGGGTGGCAGGTGGTTCTATCCTGAGCACCTGGTGCAGGTGATGACATAAAACACAGGTGGTGACATAGGACGTGGACAGGACTGCACACCAACGTAACACATATCTCTACTATGTTAACCATAGGTGATCATTAGTTCTGTCCCTACCAATCTCTATAGTCACAGCATGAAGATCATGAGTACAAACTAAACAGCTTTTAAGAATCTGTAACTTAATGGAGAAGTGTTCAAATACAGTGATGCATACCGAGGCAATTAAAACACTGAGATACTCCTGTACAATCACCATAATATAAAACCAATGTCCTCAAAGGTAAAATAAAACTAACAGATGAACAGCCACAATATTATGGTATTGGAACTATCAAATGACTGAGCTGCTGTAGAAAGCAGTTAGTTAGATCTATGCAGGCATCAATCTATGAGCCATCAATTTTTATTGGCAAATCAGAAATGCCCAAAAAGATGGTATCAGAATGTCTTATCATTATTACCTAGAAAATAAAATTGTTACCATTATGGAGAAGAATACAGACACAATATTGATGCTGAAAACCTATTAAAGTGTTTTCTGAATTGCAGTGAATTTTCAGCTTCTTGAAATAGGGTGTTAATTATATCATGTGTTCCTTTGTCCTATTTCATTGATCTATATAACTGTCACTTGTCCAACTTACTTGTTGGCATAAAGACAGTGAACTAGTACTGAAGTGCATGAAGGATTCTAAAAAGCTACTAGAAAAGTTTAGTGTGATGTATGTGTTAATTATATTGAGTGGCACTGACAACATATATAAAAATATAGAATATATAGATACTATGTTAAGTACAACTCCATAAATTTTAAAAAGCTGAATGCATATAAAGTAGCAGCAAACATATCAGTCTTTAATAGGTGAAATAAAAAATAAAATAATTCATTAGTTAATCATTAGTCTTAATAATTTAGACAAGAATTTCTTATAAAAATGAAATACAGTAAAGATAATCAATTTAAACAGCAAAATTTAATAAAATTGAAAATAAGCACATCACAAAAATAATCAGCAATACCAAATGTTGGTTAAGCAAATAATAGAACAGAAAGGGCTGTGATAAAGACAATTTTAAAATCTCACAGGATACTAAATAAGTGGAATGCATCCATGTAGATAAACACTCATGTTTTATGACATGAGTGCCCTATGAAAGAAACAGCCAACATAGTCATGACACCGTGAAAACATATTATTCGTATAGAAACCTGGATGGTGCAGTGCACTGTGCCTACATGCTAGGAGTTAAAATCCCGCCATATATGGAGTCCAGTGCTATCATATGAGCACGTTACGATGCTTTAACAACCTGCACAACCTTATTAAGATTTGAATTAATATATATCCTTACCTTTCACATAGAAAAATGAGGAGGGAGGGGATGCTGAGGCTAGAATGCACAACAGTTTGTTCCCTTTCAAAATGAAAATGCTGAGTCAATGGAGGATACTTGTGGCTAAAGTGTTGACCCTTCTTTACTTTTATAAAATGTATGTGAAGATAAATGAAAACTATAAAAATTGTTATGAAGATTTTCTTCCAAACTTGCCTAAAGCCATTATTAAAAAAAAAAAGTATTTAAAATGTAATAATATTAAAACTATTCATTAGATTATATAATTCACAATTCACAGGAAAAAGAGATTACACATCAGGAGAAACCACTTAGATTAATGACTGTGTTTTGTTTTATTCTCTATATAGTCCTGGCTGTTCTAGAACTCACTTTGTAGACCAGGCTGGACTGAAAATTACAGAGATCTGCCTGCCTCTGTCTCCTAAATGCTGGGATTAAAACACGGGCTACCATGCCCTTTCAATTACTTTGAAAATAAAAGGAAATACTAGACAGCCCAGAACAAAAAAATACGACAGAGATTTGAATGGCCACATGATAGAACACATTCATAGATAAGTGTTCAATATCGTAAGTTATACTCAACCTGTTTAGAGAAACAAAATCAGTGCAGCAGTACAAATTAACTAGAGGCATGGGCTGGAGAGATGGCTCAGTTAAGAGTGCTTGTTCCTGCACAAGAGCTAGGCTCCGTTCTTAGCATCCATGTTACTCACAACCATCTGAACTCTAGTTCCATGGGATCCAACATCTTCTGGTATCTGCAGGTAGCAAACACGTATGTGGTGTATGCACATAACGGCAAACAAAAAACACACACACACACACACATTTTATGATCTTTTCTAAAAGGATAGTATCAACAGACATACTAACGGGGTGGGGTGATTCTCACAGGTCCCAATTTTGGACAGAGGATGACAGATAACTAAGAAATGCTGAGAACAGGAGAAATAGTCTTCCCTAATGAGAACGTACCAATTGGTTATTTAATGCCCTGAAATCACACTCCTACACGTAACGCTACGCAGACTGAACAGGTTGTATTTATGTATTTAGGAATATATTCACATACATCAACAGCAAAAATTAAGGAAAAAGAGACCATGAATTTTGGAGAGCAAGGAGTACATGGGAAGGGCTGGAGGCAGGAAAGGGAAGAGAGAAAATAATGTAATATTTTAACTTGGAAAATATCTTTAAAAACCCTACTTGAAAAGTTCGAGTAACTGAATATTCATGAATAAAAAATTAAATATAAAAATATTATCCATTTAGTAAAATTTGTGGATGAATAAATTTGATATTCTCTTACTACTGACACAACACATAAATTAGTATCCATGTGCATGATTATAATACAAGAGAATACAACAATGTTGGTTCAAAAAGTTAGAACCCCAGGAGTACAGAAAAAAAGTCACAAAATAAGTTCATGTTGATGATCCCAGGTATACACTGGCAGTGTTCAATGGAACATTTCAGTTTATTTACAAATTGTTCAACTAGACTGTAGGAATCAGTCCCACTTATCTACAATGTATTTCTTTCCAAGAGTTCCACCACAACTGCAAACTCCTCTCCCTGCAATTAAAATACCCGTGATTAAAATACTTCCCAACTGGAGTAGTTTGTACAGTCTGATATTTGGAGAAGAGCCAAAATCCTGCTTGTTACCTAACTCAGCACCTTCCAATACTTCTTTAATGGGTATGTCAGACAGATATGCTAATTTCTGATCATCTATCTATTCTGACTTTTTCAGAATACTGGTCCTTATTTAAAATTTGGAATAACATCCAGCACACTCATTTAAGTGGGTATTTGTTTAAAAATTCAGTTTTTAGTCACTTCAGTAAGTAGTGAGGTTTTTGTTCTCTGGGTAAGATAAGTGAATGCTTAATTTCAAAAGACCGTCTAAATATTTTGCGCATATCCTTGACTCTTATTAATCCTATGGGACTCACAGACTAACTAACTCTAATTCGCCTATCATAAAATTATTTTCGTTTCTACTTCATGCCTGTATTTTGCTGTTATGAACTGGAATATAAATATCTGTATTTTCCAATGGTCTTAGGAGTCCCCGTGAAAGGGTCATTCTATTTCTTTAAGTATAGCCTGCAATTTCCCTTTTAAGGCTCCGAGTTTGTTTACTCATGGCCCATGAGAATGTTACAGGACACACATGGATGGCAGGTGAATGGTGATGCTCTCTCAGAATTCTTGTTAAACCGAGCCAACTTCTTTCTTTAGTACAGATGTAAACCATGTTTAGTCTTGAGTTTACAGTGTGTGCACACAAAAACACACACCCACACATAATTGTCCATTCTTCTAGTCCCATCCAAAACCCTCTTCTGACCCAGATGTGTAATGTCTGCATCTTTGAAAACCTAAGAAGTCAACAGTGCAAGCTGTAGCGTAATGCAGTTCTAGCCCTGGGAGACAGTGACTCCTACCTCCCCATTCCTACTCTAAACTACATCAGTCTATCAAAACCCCCCTCACATCAATGCTGCCATACACTCAGCTACTTGTCCTATTTCCAGGACCTTCTGTAGTCAGATATGTGTGGAAACAGTGTGGTTATATGCCAAGCTCTGGCTCTAGAAGAAAAACATGGGGACTGGTCATAAACGCGAATCTATGAACACAGGCTGGAGACACGTGGGACACTTAGGACACTTGCTACCTTTCATCTACCCACACCTGAAACTAATGGCAAGCTAGGGAAAACCTCATGCTGCTGTGCAGTCAGGAACCTTAACAGCTGGGTGTTTTGAATCTTGTCAAGATTATGTCACTCTGATAAAGCAGAAGATATGCACCCAGCTCATAATTTCAGATTTGAGACGCTTCTGAAGGACTTTCTATGTGCTGAGACTTTGAGACTTCTTCTCAAGCCTCAGCCAGACTCTGTCCCAAGGATCTGACTCCACAATCACTCAACACCCACAGTCATTCACAAACATCCAGAGTAACCGGTGAGAAAGGCGAAACGTAATGGGATGGCAATGTGCCATCAGGTAGCAGTGATGAATGCATATGCCTGGGCACCCACCCAAGGCCCAGGAGGCTGCTGAACTGACAACTCATTAACTGGCTTCCAGGATGCTCTTGGGATGTCCCACTTAAGAGTTACTAGAACCCTTAGCTGTATCTCCCTGACCTTCTCACTCTACTGAGTCAGGGTGAATTACTAAGATTATTTTTTAATCAGTGTCTCCGAGCATGTAAGTTTCTTGCACTATCTACTTTCCTTAATGTAGTATCACTAAGTACCATGGGGAGGGGGAAATTCCAGGCTGGATTTAGAGGCTATACCAGCGAATGAGAATCACTCAAGTTCCTCGGGCTCCAACCTACCAGAACAACACTCACCTTGTGTGGCCACTGCCTCATCCTGACTGAGGGTTCATCTAAGGGTGACCCTATGTTGCTATAAATTCCTTCCCAGGGGGAGACATAAGCAATGTCTATCTCTTCTCCTAAGGTCCGAAGACAGAGACATGATTCCATCAAAGGTCACAAATAAACCAGTGAGTTTATTTGGCTTCTTACAGAGCTTGAGGGTTACTTACAAGGGTGTGGGTACTCTACCCGCAGTGGGCTGCATCTGGAAATCCTTACCCAATAGGAATGTGGCTTTTCCAAAACAGCACAGATGGAGGATGTGGCCCCTTCCCTAGTCTTCCCTGGCATCCACGTACACACACATATAAATATGTATGCATCAACACACACACACATCCATACACATACTCACTCTAAATCTTTTCCCCAGGCAGTCTGCAGAGCTTCCAGTTGTAGGGAGCAGTTGGACACTGGGAAGGGGAGAAGAGGGTGTAAACCATCAACAGGCTCAGCTGGGATGAGCTTTTGAAAGGGGCACAGCTGAATTCCCCGAAATGGCAGTTCCCTGGCTGAGAGAACAGTCACTCATGATAACATTATTAAGATTCTCTTCTGCCAGAGTCAGAAAATGGAAGTGAAGACTGTTCTCCCTTCGGCCACTAACAGCAGGGTATAAAGCTCACCAAGTAAAATGGTGCAGGAGCACTCATCACTGAGCTCAGATAGGATATTTGATCCTGGCTCTAACACTCACTTGATTTGTTATATTAGGCCTGGGTCTAGACTCCCTTCTGTATCTGCAAAGTGTGGTACAATCCTCATGTACCTGTCTCTCCTGTGCTCCTAAGCTGATATAATATCACTACTCTTAATTATCCCTTCTTTGAGGATGATCAGGAAATAAGCACTATTTCTTGACTCCTATGTCAGTGACTGTCAGATTAAACCGACCTTATCAGAAGATTCGCCATCTTTTCTCTTGCCAGATGAGAATCAGAGAACACAGATCACCAACGACTTTAGCAGTTCTACAAGATGCCAGTGCCTCCTACCAGGTACAAATGCCCTTACAACACTCTAGGCCCAACCAGAGCGGGAGAGGATCTGATGTTTCTAGTCTTGGATATCTATGTCTCAGTGAGCATGGACCATAAGCAAGTAGCAGTATACACGACAAATTTGTTATTTGCACAAAGTCTATGACTTTTCTGATGCGGAATGTGATCTGACTTATTAACATTTTCCTATGTTCTTTTCCTAGGTCCCTTAAATGTTTGTTTCCTAAGGTTAGCACATATACAGTATTCTACACTAGGACATGTTTTTGATTTTAAGCATTCTCAGGGTTCTTCAATGCAGATATACTCATGTCAACTGAGACTTGACTTACCATTAAAACCTTTTGGCTTTTAAATTCATAAGCTTCTTCACATGTATGAGTTACTTACTCTGAAATAACTATAGTAGAGCTTTCCTGTGCTCTTTCCAGATACAAATGTCTCACAATATGGGTTTTCTGATGTTGAAAAAGGTCTCCCTCATGGCAGTTTTCACGTGTCATCATTCTACAGGTACTCTTTAATGTCAAGTGATCCTGGCTGACTGCGAGCTTTCTTTCCTCTTCTACATTATTAGTGTGTCTCATCTGAGTTCACTCATATTGAACGATGTATGAGTTATGAAATCAAGTTTTCCTGCATTATGTATATCTATAGGACTTCTCAGCTCTAAGAAGTCCATGGTATGGAGTGAAGACTGATTTATAGTGGAGAGTTTTTCTTCATTCTTTATAGCCACAGGGTTCCTCACTTGCATGACATTTCTGATGTTGACTGGGCTGTGAGTTGCAGGAAAATGCTTTTCTCTACTCTTTGTATTAGTATCATGTGTATGAGTGCCCAAATGTCGGGCAAGTCCTGATTTGCAGAAAAAAGCTTTTCTGCAGTCTTTACACTCATAGGGCTTCTCACCTGTATGGATTCTATGATGGAGGGTTAAGTGGGACTTACGACAGAAACATTTGCCACATTCTTTACACTCATAGGGCTTCTCGCCAGTGTGAGTTCTATGATGAGCAGTGAGCTCTGACTTGGAGGAGAAAGCTTTCCTGCACTCTTCACACTCATAAGGCTTCTCACCTGTGTGAATTCTATGGTGGCGAGTTAACTGTGACTTATAGAAGAAAGCTTTACCACATTCTTTACATTCATAGGGCTTCTCACCTGTATGAGTTCTCTGATGTTCGGTCAAGGTTGACTTATAATAGAAAGATTTCAGACACTCCTTACACTCATAGGGCTTTTCACCTGTATGTATTTTTTGATGTACACGCAGGGTTGACTTGCAGTAAAAAGCTTTGCCACATTCTTCACACTGATAGGGCTTCTCCCCAGTGTGAGTTCTATGATGGGAAGTGAGCTCTGACTTGGAGGAGAACCCTTTCCTGCACTCTTCACACTCATAAGGCTTCTCACCTGTGTGAGTTCTATGGTGGCGAGTTAAGTTTGACTTGTAGAAGAAAGCTTTGCCACATTCTTTACACACATAAGGCTTCTCACCTGTATGAATTCGCTGATGTTCGGTGAGGGTTGACTTATAATAGAAAGCTTTCCAACATTCCTTACATTCGTATGGCTTCTCACCCCTGTGAGTTTTCTGATGTACTGTAAGGGTTGACTTACGATAGAAAGCTTTCCCACACTCTTCACATTCATGGGGTTTCTCCCCGGTATGAATTCTATGATGCACAGCGAGTTCTGACTTGGAGGGGAAAGCTTTCCTGCATTCTGTACACTGATAGATCTTCAATCTTGTACGAGTTCTCTGATGGTCAGAGAGCGCTGACTTAGAATGAAAAGCTCTCTGACATTCCTTCCATTCGTAGGGTTTCACACTTGAACAATACTCCTGCTGCTTGCCCGGCTGCTGCGATGTCAGAGTAACCATTTTCATACATGGTTTACATTCATAGGGTTTTGTACCTTGATGGAGTGCCAGTTGAACCTTCATTTCTGCCTTGAAACAAAAGAACTTGTCAAGGTTTTATATCAAAGGGTATTTTTTTTCTAGCATGTACTTACTAATGGTCTGTGAGGATAACCTCTTATCCTTACAAAAAAGTTTTACAGAAAGTACTTTCCCAATATTTTCCCCATTGTGCAATTTGCCACTTATAACAAACATTTTTTTCTACTATTTTTAATTGCACATATGTGTAGGGGTATGTGCATTCAGATGCAGGTGCCCACGGAGGCCAGTGGTGTCACGTTCCCCTGTAGCTGGAGTTCTAGGGGTTGCATGACGTGTGTTAGGAACCTAACTCGTCCTGGGTGAAAGCAGCTCATGTTCTTAATGGCTCAGCTACCTCTCAGCTCCATACGTTAGCATGTTCTTCTGAGTCTGTTACATGCAGTACTTTCCTTACACGAGATATGTTTTGCACAGTTGGTGTTACACAAAGATTTTCAATGCATGAAACTGTGAAACATTTTATGTATCAATAATATTGTTTTTGTAAAGATGTATATCCCTGGTCAAATACACTAAACATCATAATGTGAACTTTCAAGCTTGTTAGGGAAACTAAGGTGCTCAGAGTGCCAGAGAGGCTTACCAGTTATAGTATCAAGTTCTTTACTATTTGCACCACATTAGGCTCACTATGGAGGCGTTCTCCACAGGTTAAGCTCTGAAAAAACGTTTGTGAGCAGTTATAGTCCTTATGTCCAGGTTCAACATGTTCATGTTTACCTACTTCAAGCATCTCTTTGTTTGACAGATTCCCGCTGACACTTCCCAACGGCCAGATGTGACTCTCTGGATTTCCCAGGCAAGTTTTATCTGGAGCATACACTTCAAGAACACCTGAAACAATATTAAATACATCTAACACACTGTTTATCCAGTTAAAATATAATCGTGAAGTTTCTTCACAAGTCTTCAGCTTAAGGGAAGTTTTACAGGAACAGGTAAGTCAGTGCTAAGTCATGTTTCTCCGCTGCTTTTACTCTTATGAAATACATGGAAAAAAGTTATTCACCTACTTAATTTTTACTGCTTATGTTAACCTGAACTCCATCCCTCTATTACCTTAATTGTACACACACCATCTACAATCACATCTCTCTCATTAAGTGAGGTGGGAAGATTTTCTTTCTCTAGCTACTCACATGATACACTTTCTATATTCTGTGTTAGGAGCAAGACTCTGACACTGGGCATTCATGTATTAGCATAAAAAATTGATCTGCATCCCATCCTTAAACTTCCAATGCTTTCCTAATTAAAAAAATATTTTGCAGTTGTATTTTTAGGACACCAATTTTCAAATTTCTTTCTCCATCCTATTCACACTTTCAAGTGTTCAATTCACATTCACATATGTATTTAATTCATTTCTTCTTCTTCTTCTTCTTCTTCTTATTATTATTATTATTATTATTACTATTATTATTATTATTATTATATTTGAGGCAAGATTCCCTTGTGTAGCCCTGGCTGTCCTGGAACACAGAGATCTGCCTGCATCTGCCTCCTGAGTGCTGGGATCAAAGATGTGTATCACCATCACACAGCCCCAGTAAGTTCAAAATTTTTAAAAACAATAATCACAGCATTAAACTAAAATAAATGAATACTTTTTCCACAGATGTCTTTACCCTAATGAATTTTCTATAATAAAACTCCATCTGTTTTTTTCTTCCCCTCCTCAAGGTAAAAATTCCTCATGTCTCTTATCTCACTGTGGTATATTACATCACCATTTCACTTTTCTCTTACTGAATGTAAGCCCTTCAAGAAGAAATACATTTGAACATAAATTACTTCTAACAAACTTTCAGATCAAGACCAAGCACTGATCTACGGAAACCTTCAATATAAAAGAAAGTAGGAATGACAATTAAGAATTCAAATGAAATATTCAGGCAAAGTATCTAACTGACAAATGTACACAGAAGATGGGGTGGTGAGGCATGCCGGTTGTAGGAGGTGGGGAGAAAAGTGTAAGGAGCTTGACCCGGTCCTGTCTACAAAGCAAGTGTGAGGGAAGGCTGGGCAATGTTAGACAATATCTGAGAAACCTATAAAAGATCAGTTTCTCATGTTGGTTTTTGTTGTTGTTTTAGCAAACTTATGAAAAAAGACTTTAACAACAAAATGGAGATGGAGACAGAGACCCCATGTGAAACCGCATAAAGCCAATGACTGACAGACGAAGGAGCTGTCGCCTGGACTAATACTGCAATGTTGGTCAAGAAAGCTCAACACGAGCAGTTCACTGTGAGGAGTCATCCCTGCTGATGTCCCTCCCCAGTTCATGGTCACTGACCTGGGAGATTCCAGAGTGAAGCCTCTCCTATACTCCACGGCCCAAATCCATGCTCCAACCTGAAGATCAGCTCAGGTTTAGTAACACAGTGCCCTGTAAATGGAAAATGCACATAACTATTCCCAAGTAGGAAATCCATTTCACTGATGGAACATGGCTGCTCCATCTGAGCTGTGCTATGAAGGGTAAACGAAGCTACATAGAAAAAAACTGAAAGGACTTGTAGGGGAAGAAAAAGAACAACAAACACAACAATAACAATAGCAAAAACCTAGAAGAAAACTAGAGAACACGTAGAGAACAGAAAGTTAAAAAACTAAAATACCCTGTACACAATCAGGCAACTGGCACAAAAAGAGACACAGACACACTGCAACAGAATGGACAGCCCCAAACAAAATCACACCTACTTAAGCTTATACTGAGGACTGAATATGCATTAGAAAGAATGGCTGCTCAAGTCACAGTTACAGTCTTTGATAACATCAGCAGGTACAGTCTAGCAGAAGCAAAGGAGGTCACAGGGAGGTACAAAGAAGGGCTGCTGGCATGGCAGAACCTTTCTTTGCTTTCTGTCAGCAGTGAGGTAAGCGGCATATCTTAGTTCTGTGTTCCCTGCCATGATGCTCTTCCTCACTATAGGACCAAAGTGACAAAGCCAAGTAAAATCTTAGAAAACTATGCGCCAAAATGAACATTTAAAAAAACAAATTCCCTCAGGGATTCTTTCAGAGTGAATGGAAAGCTGACTAATACAACTGACTTTCAACAAAGGATTCAAGACCTTATAACCAGGAGGGAAGTTCTGTAAGTCTTGCAGAGAAAGATGGACTAGTCAGGATGATGAAAGACAACCAACTCTAAACTTTACACAGAAATCAACTAAAACAGATCAAGTTCTGAGTGTACTAGCATATACCTGAGATAGAGCCAAGAGAATCAGAAGGTCAAGATCATTCTCTGCTACAAAGGTGTTCAAAGACAGCCTGAGAAAGTGCATTCCAAATGCCTAACAATGATAAAGAAAAACCAAAAGAAATTCAAAGGTTTAAATGTAACACCTGACATAATGATGTCCCTGGAATATACAACAAACCTTTGGTTCACAACCTGTGGGTCTCAACCCCTTTGGCAGTAGACAAACCCTCCTACAGGAGTTGCATATCAGGTATCCTGCCTATCAGATATTTACATTATAATTCATAACAGTAGCAAAACTACAGTTATGAAGTAGCAACAAAAATAATTTTTGGTTGGGGGAATGGTATTAAATGGTTGCAGCATTAGGAAGACTGAGAACCACTACAGAAAACACTTCAGGACAGTAAGGCAGAGAAAGGGTATTCTGATGTCTGCCAGATGCACAGCCATCAAAGCAAAATCAGCAAATGAAAAAACACCAGACTCAAAATCATCACATAGAAAAGGCCACATTGGCTGAGCTATGTTCCTCACCTGACTGCAGCCAGAAAGCAAAGGAAGGAGGTGCTGACATCCTAACACTCTTTCTTGGGAATCGCCTCACAAACAGAAACATGTGCCCAGGGACAGAGCTGGAGAGACACTGTGAAGCTACATCACTCTTTCTGAGCCCACAAAGAACACGCTATCTTAAAGCGGAAATACTGTTGACCCACAGGAGTGCTTGATACACAAATAGAGCAAGTACCTAGGTCTCTGACCATGGTAATGATGCCACTAACATGCCCTCAGAAGATTGTCACGGACCTTTCAAGAGGGGTTCTAATCCAGACCCCTTCTGCCCAAATGCATGTACCATAGAGGGCAAAACTGAGAAGAATGTGGGGTTTTCAGGGCTACCACCGTCTGAGAGTTACCCTACTGGAATAGATGGACATTTTCTTGGGTTACTGACTTCCTCCATAATGGGAATAAACACATGATTTCTTATGTCTACACAAGGAAGACACAAGATAAATGAACCACATATGTCACAAAAAGCACAATCTCACACGTCCTCATCATACTTGCCAGCTGAAGGTGATGTCAACGAAGTAGAGAAAATGGCAGTTATATGAGCAGATCATAGACAGACAGGTAGACAGTGGACGATTAGTATTTGTTCTTGGTACACAGCCATGGGACACAAAACTTATGTTTTATGGTGTGGTAATAAATATATTTGACAACAATTAATTCTTTCAAAACAGCTCTCAGGGAGAACGTAAATGTTCCTACTACACGCGCATTGCATCCACACTGGCAGATTTGACAACAGGCTTCGTCTGATCATCACATATTATCTATGTGTGGTGCAAAGCCACAGTTCTTCATACCCGTTCAGCATTTACACGGGCCAGCGAAATTGTGTCTCAACTTAGTACTAACAGCAACAATCCCAGTAGTTCTCAACCAAGAGGATAGTAATTGCCGAGAGCTGCCAGGGAATGGGACTCACCCAAGGACACCAGACTGCTGTAGGTCTCCAGCATCACGTCCCTGTAGAGGGTCCTCTGAGTAGCATCCAGCTCCTGCCACTCCTGCCAGGTGAAGTCCACAGCTACGTCCTCAAATGACACCAGCCCCTGCAACGACACACTTCATGTCAACCCAGGGTCTCAGCGCTGGAAACAGAGTCCATTTCCCTAGGTGTTTGTGTCTTGCCAGTGTCACACAGATGCTGGGGCGTGACTTGGATTCTGTATAGCAGGACAGTTTAAAATCAATATAAGTATCTTACTTCTGTATTAATGTAGTGAATTGAAGAAATTACAATTAAAGAGCTCTCCAAGAAATTACAATAGAAATGAAATTTGTAGCTGAGTCTGTGTTTGTAAGGTTTGCATTAAGGTTTGCAGTGAATTCTGCAAGCTCAGTGGTAAAAACACAAGAGTACATCTGTCAGGTCGGAACAGCACAGTGAAAAGGCAGATGCTGGGCTGGCGGCGTAGCACTGGGCTACAGTGCAGAAGGTACAGGGGTCTGGGCTCAAGCCCACGCTCCTATACAACAGATCTCACTGTTAAAAGATAGAGTAGATGGCACACATGACATACAGAGGGTCTTAAAATTATTTTTGCAAGAGAGGCTTCCTAACTATGCCATGACCAAATTATAACTCAGAAAGTCATACAATGAAGCCCAGGTTTGGGGCAGCAATCTTTGGGCCAGCACTTAGCCATGCTGCACTGGGTGACTGCACTGCAGCCTTTGCTGTAAACACACACCACGCCACCACACCATTCGACTTCCAGGAACACGGCCTGGAAAGATACTTTATACTTCACTGCCACTTCTGTGCACAGTTTCTCACTCTTATTAAAAGAATGACGTAATCATGGAAATGAAAGATTTTAAATATCTTCCCAACGTCATCCCTTTCTTTGAAACAGCATGTGTTTGACTTTTGTATTATATAAGCAAGCACATGCGTTTTTACTTGTGTGCAAAGTTCATTTCATCTTTTGCAACTGTAAAATTGTAAGGAACTACTTTAAAGTAAGTGTGTAAAATTATTAAACACAAATGTTTGATTTGCATTTCTATTTTATTAACTTCTATATAAGGGTTCACACACAGTTTCTCAGGCAAAAAGGAATCATAAGCACAAAGCATTTATATGGATTATTTCTCTCTTAAAAGCATCAATGAGCTACCCTCCATACACTGGGCAACTGGGAAAAGTCACAGCGATGAGTTCAAAAATGCTTAGACACACGAGCAAGAATTCAACTTGGATCATATGCTATACATGAGGAAAATGATTCCACGCTCCTGAGGTCATCGAGAGGGGGAAAGATAATAAGCATGCAATGAATACGTGGACCCTCCCACCTCCCTAGAAAACTGAGAAAAATCATGGTTTCATATACTGATTTCATATGCTAATATGCAAATACAAATATTTCCACTGGCTTAGCACCTAGTGGAGTGCAGTGGCACATGCCTGTAATCCCAGAACTCAGGGAGACAGAGGCACATGGATCTCTGTGAGTTTGAGGCCAGCCTGTGAGTCTAGGACAGCCAAGGCTACACAGAGAAACCCTGTCTCAGAAAGAGAGAGAGAAAAAGAGTTTAAAACTCCACACCATGTTTCTCTGGAGGGAGTCCCCACCATGGTCTGCTGCTGTTCTGACAGCTGAGCTTTCACTTGTCCCTCAAGGATAACAGAGAAACATAACGTAGTACCGTACCCTGTGGTCCCTGAATGGGAGTTTAGGCTTCTGCACCCCCACTGCTCGCCACACATCTCCAGGTGCACTAGCTGCTGCTCATGGAAGGAGTCCGCACTCACAGAATGCCTCAGCTTTAATCTGGGTATATTTGTGGGAATATATGCTAAACTTCAATGGTCTATGAACAAAGTGATCTGGCACATGCAAATCTCTCTAGGGTCCAGAAAACAACTGTCTAAAATCAAGCAATAACACCAAGAAGGATGACAAGACAGACTGCTGTCTAGTCCCTTTCTTTTGTACAGTGCGAACTGTAACAAACCTGGTCCAGAGTTGGATGTAGCGAGCGCATACTTCCTGCAGCTACAGTAAAGCTAAGAGAATGACCACCCACATCAAAGCAATGACAAATCACAAGGGTCAAATTACGACGGACATGGCAAAGAGGGAACTCTAGAGCTCTTCTGTTGATGTGTAAAATCAGTATTTATTTTATGAAGTAGTATTCACGCTCTGCAAAAATGTAAACACAGATCTTCCATACTATCCAACCACCACCATGGCTGGTGGTTGGATACGCAAGAGAAGTCTACATGTGAAGAGATGGTTCCACAGCCACACTTACTGCCAAGAATGCTAACAACTAACTGTCAGGACATGGCAGGACATGGCAGGACATGGCCCCTGCAGCCACCTGCTCCCAAAAGACCTAAAGCCCATATGAGACCGCCTGCTCATAGAGAAATGCAGGGCTGACAGTCAGTAGATACTCCAAGTGATCAGACATACGGCTTCTGTGGGCACAGGAGACCAGCAAGAACAGATGGTGGGTGGGGTCCATCACACTCTAAAGCTTGCTAGGGGACAGCTCAACACAATGTCACCAGATAAAGTTTCTGCCTGCGGGCATGCAGGAGAGAAACACAAGATCATTTACGTGGGCTCAAGTGGATCTCTCAGTCTTCCTCTCTTGTGATATGTTTATGAACAAAATTAAATACTTCAAATATCCACTGCTCCCAGGACTCAGGAGAAGACAAAACATGTCTGTTTTTTAATAAATCCTGGATCATATGGAACAAATAGCTCTCATCATACTATAGAAAAGAGATGATGATGAAGCTGAAGAGATGCTCAGTAGTTAAGGAGCAGTCACTGCTCTTGCAGAGGACTCAAGTTTAGTTACCAGCACCCACACAGCAACTTCAGTTCCAAGGAACCAGATGTCCTCTCCTGGCTTCTTGAGACTACTGCATTCATGCCATGCATATAAATTCTTAACAAGCAAAAAGGGATGGTGCTATTTAGTAACACTTACAGAAAAAAGACTAGAAATTGGCTGCCAGAGACACAGGTGTTGGAGGTCCTAGACAGGGTTCTGGATTTTCAAACTTGCTTCCACACAACGGAAAGGCTCAGTTTACCCCCAGGGAAGAGGTGAGGCAAGAGTTGGCCATCCATATCCTACGTCCTTCATCCCAGACATGGCAGTTGAAGCTGCTATGGAAACTGGGTCTTTCATGAACAGAAGCATGCTCCAGAAAGGGACAGCTGCTGAACAGCTGGCCCCTTACTTCCCTTCACTTCCGACCATTCGGGTCATGCCAGGTCTCCAGACACCATCCTTTCATATCTGGAAGTGGCTTTTCCAGAGGTGCTCCTGCTATCACAGCTTTTGGGAAAAGGGCAATCCTACACTACTGCCTGTAGGAGGAATTCCCTTCAGAGACCTCCTCCCACAGACCCTCACTTCCTCTCAGACCCTGCCTTCCCCCTACAGGTTCTCTTCTCTCAGAACCATTAGTAAATCATCTGTCTGCAGCCACCAAAGAACACGCGCACCACTTCTGCCAGCCATTTGAGGCCGACTGAAGCCAATGCACATGCTGCCTTCTCCCGTCCTGGAGGGCCAAGTCACTGGCCCAGGGAGTTGGGCAGTGATAGAATCACTTCCTACATACTACCCTTAGCCTCAGCTTCATGATAGGGGGAACAGCTTCAGAGTGCCCTTCTCCTGGTCTCTGGGTCCCAGAATGGATGGTCTGTAGGCACTAAAGCATCCTCTGGCCTTTCACAGCAATCCCATTTTGCTCTTGCTATGGCTGCAGGACAACAAAAAGAGGGTGACATCATTCTACAGAACAAAATCTTAAGACAGGATTGGCTTCTCTGAAGTCTCACAGGGAGATGACTGGGAATGGAACCTACCACACACGTCACACATACAAACCACTGAACTGGCTTGTATCTTTTTAAGTTATGGTTTCACTAAATTGACCAAGACCACCATGAACTCACTTTATAGTCTTCAAACTTGTATATCATATACATTTATATAATTTTTAAATGACCCCTGACTTTAGGTGTACTGGAGAGGGTTATGATACATATACAATATATATATAACATTTACTGGCCTGTACCACCAACCCTGCTGGCTTAGAGGTGAGATGTGAACCTAGATCTAAGGCTCCCTCTCCTGTCTGTCCTTACCAGAGCATGGAAGGAGACATCTCGAGAAGAAAAGAGGGAAGAGGTGAAGCTTCTATACATGGTTGTTCTTAGAATCCCACATTAAAAAATCCTACCAAATGGGGTCAAAGTCAACCAAGCTACCTTTCAGAGCAGGGTTGTTTCAGAGACTGAGACACAATAAAGACACAGAGACAGAGGGATGAGGACACAGTAAGAGACAGGGAGTTGGATATGGTGGCTCATGGCTAAAAAATCCCTAGGGATCAGAAAGCTACAGCAGAAGGATCATCATATGCTTAAGACCAGACCGGACTACAGAGTAAGACCCTGTCTGACAGATCAAACACAAACAACAAAAGAATCGCACAAACAGGGTAGAAAAGGAGGCATAGGTCAGAGGGGCAGATTGACAGATATGCATAAAAAGAACTGAGACCCACATATGCAGTGCTCAGATTTAGGGGGCAGCCCCCATTTCCTGTACCCTGAATCTCCTAACCCTACTCCATCTCCCATGAAGAAGACCAGTACCCATGGAAAATCTGGAAAGCCCGGTGCCTCTCTGCAATCGCTCTCTGTACATGCGTGCATGAGCCATGTCTCCAAGTACCTGGCTGGTTCTCTCACCCCACCCTGAGATCTGTCTGCAGGTCTCTCTATCTGCTCCTCTGACTCCAGTCCTCTTCTGCTCTGTGTTCCTTAATTTCCCCAGCACCACACTGTGGTACATGAGCTATTCCTGAGTGCCAGGGGCCCACCAGAAGAGAAGCATTCTGAGTTTCTCCTCATGCCCAAGTGAACGGGGTGGGGGTGGGGGAAGGGGTGGTGGCAGAGGTAGAGTAAAGGAAGAAGGGCAGCTGGTACCTGGGCTCCTGCCAAGTATCAGTGCCTGCCTTGGGGCCCTCTCATTACTTCCACAAATAGTTTAGAAGGCTGGCCTGTGTTCCCAGCTTAGGGAAGAGAGCTCGAGGCCAACTTGTGCTGCAGTTAAAACTCTGTCTAAAAAACAATAATAATAAAATCATAAAAACAGAGAGAGGCGCACAAGGCCCCATTTCTCCTTTTGAGGATGTGTAGGCAATTAATGGTCGTCTTGGCATTCAGCAGTGTAGATAATGGTGAGGCCGAAGCTCCTGTACTAACTCTCCTCCAAAGCACCTGTAAAAGTCAGGGGGCTGAGAGATGGCTCGGAGACTTAAAAGCACTGGCTGTTCCTCCAAAGGTCCTGAGTTCAATTCCCAGCCACCGTGTGGTGGCTCATCACCCTCTATAGAAAAATCTGGTGCCCCCTTCTGGTGTGCTGGCATACATGCAAGCAGAATGCTGTATAAATGATAAAATTAATAAATCTTAAAGTTTTTTTTAAAGTCAGGTGTCATTTAAACAAAAGAAAACGACAACCAAGAATAAGGGGAAGTACTGGGAAAGAGAAAGGGCATCCGTGGGGGTGGGGAAGGGACTGGGAGGTAGAGAGGCTGGATGAAGAAAAAAACATGACATGCGGCTGCGCTGCGCCACTAACGCATGACACTAAAAACGTGGGCTCACGGCAGCGCACTACCTTGCTGAATTCTTGTGTTCCATCTCCAGAAGCACAAAGAGAGGCAGAGCCGAGGGAGGAAATACAGCTCAGAGAAGTACCTACTCCAGGCCACCCTCCGGAGCCCGAGTGAACGCCGCACGGAGGAGACGTGCTGAGAGACGCAGAGACACTAGGGAAAGATGGGCCACAAGGGCAGAGGCGGAGGCGCGGGGGAAGGGGTCCGGGACAGGCTCCCCACAGGGGGTTCCCGCAATCAGAGGTTCACGAGGAGGCCAGGGGCAGCAGGCTGCAGGCGAACCCCGGGCACCCGGTGGCCCCGAGAGCGCGCGGGCGGCGCCCCTCAGGCTGGCCGCAGCCCCGCCGGATCGGGAGGCTGCGGGCCGCTCCGGGCCGCCACGGGGTCCCCACCCGGGCGCCGCCGTCCCTGCGGCCCCGCGTGCGCCGACGCCACAGCCTCCCCGGGCTGCAGCCGGGCACGCACGGGGCCCCGACGCGGGGCTGGGCCCGGGGACGCTGCCGCGGGTACACGCACCATCTCGGGACTCCGGGTGAGCGGCCCCCTCGCGGTGGGCGTCCGGGCACCGGCGAGTCACACGGCGACAGAGACCAGGCGCAATCCAGAAGGCAGAGAGGCGAGAAGAAAAGCGGCCGCAGACGCCAAGATGGCGGGTCAGCAACAGCGGACACAGGGCTGAAGGCCCGCCCCCTCTTCTCCGTCCGTGTGTCTGATTGGATAGCCTTCAGCCCAGCGCCTCTGATTGGTTAGTGCTTCAGGTCCCCCCTGAGTGACAGTTCTTGCTTCAACCCATAGGTGGATGAAGCCAGAATGACAAGGCCTTGCTCTCAAAGGTAAATTAAGGCAGGGCTTAAGTTATTTGTCTACATTTAACCTTGCAAATGAAGTGTGATATTCATGAATTGTATATAAATCTGTATACATTGTCGTGTCCTATGTATTACTTAGAAGAGCAAATTTAAATTGTTTTTTAGTATTCACTTAAAAAAAAGCACAAGCATTTGAATTTGGTTGTAAAAACTACCAGTTAAGACACCAATGCCATGTTTTTTACTGCTTACTTCAGGAAAAATCTGAAAAATATGTGTAATGCATCCCACATGCCTGCAAATTATTTTCATTCATTCTTGGGCCCAGCATGGTGGCAAAGGCCTTTAATCCCAGAACTCTGGAGGCAAAGGCAAATAGATCTCTGTGAGTTCATGGCCAGCTACAAACTGAGCTCAAGAACAGCCAGGGCTGTTATACAGAGAAATTCTGTACCAAAAATAAATAAACAAATAAAAATTTAAAAGATATTTACATTCTTTTTGGGTTTACAGTATTTTTTTTTTCAACACAGACAATAATCAAATGTCTGTGCTTTAAGTCATCCCATGAAAGCACGGGGCACAGATGTGTGCAAAGAATGCATTTTCCCTTGCAGCAATGTAGCCGAACAAGGGCTGGGCAAAGCTGTTTTCTCCCATCTAGAACTCAGATGCTGCATCAGGAAAAGCCTCACAGCACTCATAGATGTCATGCATAGCTCAGGCTTCACAAACCACAGAACTTGTGGTTGTAACCTCTGACATTATAGCAAAGGTTTTCGGAGGAACTTTCCTGCCAAAGCCAATTTACAAAGGCCCAGTGAACTCAGAATCCAGAATGTAGGACCTGGGCAATTAATAATGTTTAAAGCTCTCCAGAGTAATTCAATGTGAGTCTGATCCCCAAAACAACTTCTTTCAAACATCAACGTAGTTGAATTCCTTCCTAGCGGTTTCTTAAATGTCTTATGAATTTTTCCTGAACAAATTTCTGTTCTCCCCAGACTGAACGAAGGCAACAGAGCAAAGAATCAGTTCCACTCGTGAAGAGCCTGGTGCACAGTCGTCGTCAGTGTTCTATTGCTGTGAAGAGACACCATGACCAAGGCAACTCTTCTAAAAGCAAGCATTTTACTGGGGCTTGCTGACAGCTGTGGAGGTTTGGTCTGTTATTGTCAAGGTGGGGGTCGTGGTGGCACACAGGCGTGCTGGAGAAGTGGCTGAGAGTTCTACATACAGATCAGCAGACAGAGGGGGAGAGACACTGAGCTTGTCTTGGGCTCTGAAGTCTCAAAGCCCATTGCCAGTGACACACCTCTAGGCTACCTCTACTCCAACAAGGCCACACCTCCTAATCCTAAATTGTGACACAACAACGGTTGATGACTAACCATTCAAATATATGATATGAGCCTATGGGAGCCATTCTTGCTCAAACCACCACGTGAGAACGCCATGACCTGAGAGTGTGAGGAGGCTACAAAAATCCAATGGTTTTTTGTTTTTTTTTTCCATAGCTCAGAATTCTCAGTCTTACAGTTCAGCAAAAACACATAGCCTTGGCAAAAAAGTCCAGAGGCTAAGCATTAACTCTCAGCTCAGAATTCCTGTTCTTTGTCAAAGTCTATAAAAAACGGGGCTCATTCCTCATCACAGACAAGGAGACAACTAAATCCCCCATCGTAGGAAGCAGATGAAGTCCTGAGTGACTGTGATTGTTGATATGAGCACAGCCACGTTAAAGGACATCAGCGCCTCAGGCCCATGAGAATGGAAGAGGCCAGGCTGAGTGGGATGGTAAAGCCTTCTATTCATCTAAGTGTAGAGAAATTTTCATTCAGAACACGGCTGCTCTGGCAAGAGATCACATCCAAAGACCTAGGTCTTGCAAAAATGACCATCTTGCCAAAGTTATGCTACAGATTCAGTGCAATCCTAATCAGCTTTCCAATGCTATTATTTAAAATCACAGGGAAGAAAATCCAAATTCTAGATGGAGGCAAAAAGACATAGTATAGCCAAAGCAACATTAAACAAAAATAACACTCCATAAGAGCACATTCAATTTTAAATTATACTATAGAGCCATAGTAATCAAAAAATGATCGTGGTACTAGGACAAACACCAGACACAGGGATAAATGCATTATATCCAGGAGTTCTCATCTATAAACCAGACGAAGAAACTTGGGTCCCCACAGGCTGAGTAAAGGTAACAGACCCTTCTCTCTAATTATACATATAAATCACCTAAAAGTATATTGATAAGTGAGTACAGTAACACACACCTAAAATCCTAGACCTCAGGAAATAGATTCAACAAGATCAGGAGATTGAGATTATTCTGAAATACAAAGGCAGTTCAATATCAGTGTGGAAACTCCTCCATTAAGAAGCCAAAAAGAAGAGAAGAAGTGGACTGAAGATTTTAATAGATGATGCAACATTGTGATGCTACTAGGAAATAGAGAAAACCTTTCAGGACAATGATGTGACAGAGTCTTTGATTATCTGCCAAAAGCACAATCAACAGAAGGAAAAATAAAGACATAGAATAGCACCAAACGCAAACTCATCTGCACAGAGAAGTAACTTACAGAGTGTTACAGGGGCTCAGACTCATCCAAGGACACTGGGCTGTTGTCCTTCTCCAGCACCACACCCTATAGAGGATTCTTTGAGCATCATCCAGAATCTGCCACACCCGCCATTCTCAGATGACACAGTCCTGTAATGGCAGGTTTCTCCTGAATCCAAGTTCCTCAGCTTTGGTAGTAGAAAACGGAATTCACTCTTGTCTCTTTTTCTTTCTCACCCCTTCTCTCCTGTCCCCTCCCCTTACTCCTTCCCTTCCTTCTCCTTCTCCCTCCCTCTCCCTCCCCTTTTCTCTCTCTCCCTCCCTCTCTCTCTGCTCCCCAACCCCTGTGTGTGTGTGTATCTTGCAGATTGTCTAACAGAAGGCATAGCCTGATGTTTATTCTGTATCATAGGACAAAATAATAAATATAATTAATTTATATTTAGTTAATTTAGTGATTCAAAAATACAGAAGAGTTCTCCAAGTTCGTATAACAGAAACCAAATTTACTGATTAATATATATGTTCGTTCCTTTTACATTATTATGAGCAAGAGTTCTTTGGGTCTGTGCTGAGGAGTAGTATGGCTTGGTCATATGATAGATTTTTAGCTTTTTAGCTGAGACCCCTAGTAACGAGGGTCCTGGAGACTGAGGAGGCCACTCTCTACCTAGACAGGACTCCTAGAGGACAGAGGTGGAACACCAAACTGCCCACAAAAACTTCAACTCAAAATTTATAGTCAGCACTGAAAGTCAGCCAATCCCTGGTCCAGCCTGAGACCCACCCCATGGGAGAGAGCCAACCCCGCACACTAATAACGACACTCTGCTATGCTTGCAGATGAGGAGTCTAGCATAGCTGTCTTCTAAGAGGCTCCACCCAGCACAGGATCGAAACAGATGCTGAGTCTCACAGCCAAAGATTGGGTGGAGCACAGGGAGCCCTGTGGAAGAGTTCGGGAAGGTTAGAAGGACACAGAGGGAACAGGAGCTTCACAAGAAGACCAACGGAGCCTGGGCCAGTGGATGGCGGGGCTGGGGAGGGGCTGCAGAAACCAAGGACCAACCAAGGACCATGCATGGACTGGATCTAGGCCCCTACACATATGTACCCGATGGGCAGCTTGGTCTTCTTGTGGGTATCCTAGTGAGGGGAGCAGGGGCTGTTTCTGACACGGACTCTGTTGCATGCTTTTAGATCACTTCCCTGCAGTGGGGCTGCCTTGCCAGGCCACCATGGAAGAGATCCTGATGCGACTTGAAGTGCTGGGGTGGGTTAGTGCTCCCCCTTCCTGAGGGGTAGGGAGGGGCTAGGAGGAGAGGAGGGTGTGGGCTACGACTGAGATGTAAAGTGAACATCTAAATAAATAAAGTGCAAAGTTAAAAAAAAAAAAGAATCTTCCACACTGAATTCCACAGTGGTTCCTCCGACAGTGAATAGGCGTTGTCCCTTTTCCGCGTCTTCATTGCACTTGTTAGGTTTTGTTGTTGCCCTTTGCTTTCTAACCTTATTCATTCTGACCAGGCTAAGAAGAAATCTCAAAGTGGTTTCAGTTTGCATTTCTCTAGTTGTTAAAGGTGCCGAACGCTTGCTCGGGTCTTGTTTGGCTAAATTCCCTGTCATTTCTGGGAGACTCGACCTCAGAGCACACTTCCTGGTTCATGCTCTTGGAATCTTTCCGCCCCCTCCTCTGAGATGCTTCCTTGGGTGTGAGGGCTGTGTTCCAGACAGCGTTGAAGCAGAGTCTGATGTGCTCGCGTTTTACCAGTTGTACCTCTTTGAAATGATCGTCATCTGCTGCAAAGAAAACAATCTTTTTTTTTTTTCTTTGCAAGTAATTTCTATTTACAACAGAATTGGTGGCTTTGTTCCTCAATTTTTAGGGATACTTGACATCAGCAGCCAGAGGTGAAATCCAGCTCATTCTGTCCCAGCCACAGCTTGGGAAGCTCACTGGCTCATTCTAGCCCCAGTTCTACCACCAGAGACATTAGCACCTCCCCATCCACTGGGTTAGAATCAATGATAGCAGAACTCTGGGCACAGGAGGAGAGGCTGACCCTGCTGTTCCTCCCTGGGCCCCCGGCTTCCATGGTTGGCCTGGAGGGGTCATGGCTGCCTCTGTGGCTCCTGATACTGACTAGCTTCTGCAGCTGCATGGTAGCCAGCCGGTGAGGGGCAGGGTCACACTGAAGGGTGAGGGCTTGGTAGCGGGGATGGGAGTAGAAGACCCTATTGGAGATGGTGATCTAGAGGGGCTAGGGGGAACC